AATAAGCCATCCTTATCCAAATTCTCCTCTTTTAAGTCCCTCGAGTTTGGGAATGTTGGCTATTAGGCCCAAAACAATATTTTCTCACAATTTAATCCTTAACTTACACTTAAATATTCCCGAAAATTTGGGATATTACAAGACTTCAATTAATTTATAGTTATTTCTTGTAGTTTTAACAATCAAGTTGTTTAGTTATTGTTATTTTAATTCTGCCAGTCATTAGTTTAATCATTATGGGCTACGTAGTTAAAATCATTGTCTGTTATTTTACTTTTTCTGTTATCTGCGAATTTAATCTTTATGGCATGTTATTTTCTATTATTTACTTCATGTTAGTTTAATTGCCTTAAAATATTGCATTTATTTTAGGATTTGTAACTTTTATTACACCTGTTTGGTTGTGAAGTTCTTGGACGTTTCCAAGGCAATTAGTAACCCATTTTGCAGAACTCTACCCTCTATTTTGCAACATCGTCTGAGACGCAATTCATTTCACAGACATTCTTTTCAGCCATCCTATTGGAAGTTGACCACTGAAAAGGTAAAGAGTCGCCTAGAAAATCCAGTTTTCTTGTTTTTAAACAAAACAAGTGGCACGCCTAATAACCAAACTGACGTGATAAAAACCGACTAAGGATTTTTGAGGAAACATATACTATGATTATGAATAAAAATTATTATTAATATTTTTGCGATGGCGGGTACTATTTATTAAAATTATTTATACTTATCAAAAATAAATTTAAACATATACCTTCACGCATAATTTTCTTTTATTTTTACTACTTTAAGAAAATAACGTATCAAAATTAATATCTAGATATGTAATAGTCATCACTCACAAATTGCAGACGGATCAAATGAACCATAGTCAAGAATAAGGGAGACTTGGAAGTCAAGAGTGCCGTGTCTCATGGGTGAGAGACAATCATGATTTTAGGTTAAATATCAATTTTAGTCTTATAATTTTAAACTTTTGTATAGTTTTTGTTTTTCAATTTTTTTTATGTATTTTTTTTAACTCTAAAAAATATACTTTCTTTAATCCTTTTTCCATTAATTCATTAAGTTTATCTAAATATCTATATTTTTAATTTCTAAACTTATAAATTTAGAGATTAAAAATGTGCATATATGCATAAATTTAATGGACTAACTAATAAAAGGACAAAAAAAAGTGTATTTGTTAAAGTTAAGTGACCAAAACAGTATATAAAATAATTAATAAATGAAAATTATACAAAATTCTGAAATTGAGAGATTAAAATTGATATTTAACCATCATTTTATGTAGAGAGGCCTGTTTGGCTTAATATTTTGAGTGACGCAAGCTTATATTTGTGTCGTTGAAGACTTTTCTACCAAATTTAGGCGTCAATATAAGGCAAGCTAAGGAGTGTGTGTGGCAATGCATCCCTTCTTTGATCCATAGATTTCTCTCCATAAACTTGCTTTCCATGGCTTCATCAACGCTCGTCTGCAACATTCTAATGGCCATCGTCAACACCACAAGTATCATCGACACCCCAAGTATCGCCAACACTCCAAGTATAATCGATACCACAAGTAATCTCTTACTCTATGCATCTTTTTTTTTTTTTAATTGAACAAAAAATCTGTTTAATATGATTATAGTTTAGTTTTTAGTTTTAATTTTTAAAAATTTTAAAAACTTAAAATAAAATTAGCAAGTTTAATTTATAAATTAATTAAGGCTCCGCTTAGTATAATTTGACTTTTTGATTTTTAGTTTTTATTTTTTATATGTTTACTAATGCATATCATATTTAGACAAAATCTCCAAATCCACCTTTCAAATAAGAGGATAAAGACAAATCCACTCTTAAAAAAAATACAAAGACAATTATCCTTTTATGTTATAAATCAAGACAAATCACCAATTTTTTGATGTGATATCCAATTTTAGTTAAAAAATGCTCACGTGACAAACAAAATTTTGATATCACACATTAAAAAATGAGTGATTTATCTTGATTTATAATTTAGAGAGACAATTATCCTTGCATTTTTCTGAGAGATGAATATGTCTCTACTCTCTATTTGAAAGGTGGATTTTGAGGTTTTACCTTATATTTAAATTAAATTTAATAAATTTGAATTTTTATAATAAATTTTCATTTCTAAATATAAAAATAATTACTAAATATATAAAAAATAAAAACCAAAAACCAAAAAGCAAAACCATAACTAAACAGAGCATAAGTTTTCAGTTTTGAGTCCCAGAAGCTTATACTCAATAAATTGCCTTTTTTAATTTTTAATTTAGTTTTCAATTCTTAATTTTAATTGTTAAATATAAAAATAATTACTAAATTTATAAAAAATAAAAAATAAAAACCAAAAGCAAAAAGCAAAACCATAACTAAACAGAGCATAAGTTTTCAGTTTTGAGTCCCAGAAGCTTATACTCAATAAATTGCCTTTTTTTTAATTTTTAATTTAGTTTTCAATTCTTAATTTTAATTGTTAAATTTTGACAACTAAAAACCAAAAACCAAAAAACTACCATTCTAAATGGAACCTTACTTTTAAACATTTCTATACATTATATATGTGTTTTTTCAATAATAATGTTATTTTTGGCTTTTAATTCTGTTCACTAAAAATTTAACAACACTAGCTAAAGTTTTGTTTAGTATAGTCGTAGTCGTGAGTTTTCAGTTTTAGGTTTTATATATTTTATAACTCTAAACAAAAGACACTTATACTTTTATGTGTTTTTACAACAAAATTACCTTTTAACGAGGTTATATTCTGTTGTTAAAAGCTCTTATTCTAGTCCTTTAAAGATAAATAGTGATTTGACGGCATGCCCTGGTCTGTCACTACATGTTTAGTGGTTAAAAATTTTTATTGTTCCCCAAAGATACCGTTATGGCCATCAATATTTTACTTTCTATTTCTTTAAATTACTCTTTTACCTACTCAAGGAAGGACAAAAGTTATGGAGATAGAGTTGAAAAATATGTATTTTCTTAATTTGAGTGTGTTAAATAAGTAATTTAACAAAATAAAAAACAAAATATCAGTTGGCCGCAATAACATCCCCCATAACCATAGAAAGTAACACACCATCCCATGCTTTAAGTATCATCTTTATCTCCACTAAATTAGTTTATTACAAGGGTAATTCCGGTTGTTGAATGCCAAATAATTCTCAATTTAAATGAAAAAATATACCAATCTATTATTTCTAATGACAGCAATTCCCCATCGTTGCAAGTGGAAGATAATTTATAAGGATAGTAATCTGTGTCATTAAATGAAACAAATTCCAAATTTGAGAACAAATAGCTAGAGAACCTGCCTTTTTTTTTTTCCTTTTTCCTCTTTAAACATTAGGAAATTGGGGGAAGGGGGATTACGTCACAAAAATTTGAACCATGGTTGTATCCATGATCTAAGACACACCCTACCATTGGAGCCACGGCTGCAGGTGCACAAGAGAACCCACCTTTACAAGAAATAAATTTGACAATAATAATATAAACCATAATCTTCCTTAATATTATCAACAGTTAGATCTTTACATACACGAGTGTAAATTACCACACGAGTATAATTTACCATCCAAAATTATCAAGTATATAAGTCTCATTGAAATTCTATGTGCCTTAACCAAAGATACCACAAGGCAGCAATATTAAATACTTCATTTTCACATAAGTGGTTCGGCGCTTGCCACATGCTCATCTCCAAGACTTTTCCATTTAAAAATTTCCAATTGTAAGTTATAATCACATCCAAAAGTTAAAATTCATTTATGCAAATTTTTATTCATGAACAATGTCTTAACCATAACACCTTAACTTAACTAAGCTTTCTAAGGCTCTGGTTCATTCACAGCGTGTGAATGATGCTTCAAATAACACATTTACCACTTAACTTATATAATGGTAGAAGAGAAACTAATCCAAGAGAAAAGAGAAATAGGAAACAAAGTACAACAAACACATTTACTTAAGCAACAATGCAACTAACAGGTTTTAACCAATCACATCCTTCAGAAAAGAAACAAGGTCCTTTTAAAACACATCATTATGAATTCCATTTTCATGATTAGAGAATCTAGCTTTGACCAAAGATTAGAGATTGCCACTGTTTCTCATTTTCATGTGTATCAAGACATGAAAACTAAAGAGTGGTTCCTCCTAAACTTCCATCCAATTCGAAGAGAAATTTTAATAGCAAGAAAGCCATATAAGTACTCGAAGCCAAGACCTTCATAAATTCATAGGATCATATATTATGTATTTTTGAACTATCTAATTCAATACGTGTGAGACCAAAAATTAGGGGGAAAAGGAAGGCTCAATCTTGAATCTGATTCACAGAAATGGCAATAGTCACTTTAGCAGTAGGGATTTGAGTTAGCACTGAAACAAAAAAAAAAAAATAGGGAACAGAGAACAGAAAAAACAAGGATTCTGCAAAGGCAAACTAAAAATATTAGGAAAACACTATTAGAGAGAAAAGAAAATAAAGAAGAGAGAAGAGAATATACCTGTGAAATGATTTGAATTTCCGTTGGGCCATGCAACATAACATCCCTCCAATAACAAAATAGAAACATACCACAAAATCCAATTGTGCACATTTTTTCAGTGCACATCAGGTACGTCTGGAACAATAATTACAAGTAAAACAAGGTTACGGCAACCCAGAACATCACCAATGGCCAACATAAAACAAAAAAAAGAAAGGGGGAAGCAACAAGGAAAATCTTCATTGATAATAGCAGATAGAAGCATGAAATTAATTAAAATTCAAAAGCAAAAGATGAAAATTTGATAAATGAAATGATGAAGGTTAGGGAGAATAGTCAATTACCGGTGTTGGCCAGTGAGAAAGAATCAACCAAGCGAGAGGATCAAAACCATCAAGGAGGAAGCTGATTAAGGAGCAAAATAGGAAATAAGAAAATCAAAAACCCAATGATTCAGTTAGTTTTTTTCACTTTTTGCAGTGCTTCAACTAAGCTAGTCCAACACACCAAGATATCCAAATGCTCTGTTTTAATAAATAATGTTCAATCTAAGTACTTGAAACAATCCTGGATCATCAAAAAGAGTAGCCAACCAGTGAGTTGGCAAGGATGAAATTTTACCCAAAAACACACTATCTGATGAAATTTTACAGCAAATAAATTGCTAAATAACTCACCTGTTGTTATTAGCATACCAAAAGATAAAAATTACTCAATAATACATCAAAGCAGCTAAAGGGGTTATCTAATAAAGCAAAGCAGTTCTGAAATCACACCCAAAAAAAAAAAACAAAAAGAAGGGAAGCAAAAGAACAACATTTTACCAAATAAATAAGAAAAACTCAATAGCCCAAGGGCGCAGCTGGAATAACAGAAAAATTTGCATAACACAGTTAGTACGAGGCCGTGCATCCAGAAAGGGAGAACGAAGAAGGCTGCTGTTGTTTATTCTAGTGCATCCGCCGCGTCTTGCATCTTTTCTGGAAACAAATTAATCTGATAAATTTCTTCAAAAAAATAAAAGAAATTCAAAGAGATTTCTATCAAATTAAAACCCTAAATTCAAAGAAAAGAACCTTGGCGTGAATTTCTTTAATGAATCAGGAAACCCTAGCTTGGGCAATACCTTTTCTCTGTTCATTTGGATATGCAAAAAATCTGAACCAGAAGATTCATCAGAGGATTTGGGACCTAGAGGAGTGTCATGGCATCACTGAAGCCGCGTTCACTGTAGTGACCTTCGATTGCCTCAATGAAAAAAGAAAGAGAAGCCGAGCTCTGAAAGCTTCTCTAAATTAGACCTTGCGAACAGGTCGGCTAGATTCGAATTACATTCATTAGAATGGGTGATTTTAGATTACGAGTTAAAAGATCAACTTACTATTCACCCATACGGATTTTAAATTAAGGTTTAGTTTGACAATAGCGGTGGTTGTTGATTTTTTTTATACTTTTAATACTTTAAAAATGGCTTAATTCAATTTTTAGTCTATTAACTATCACCTTGATTTCATTTTAATCTAAAAATTATGTTTTATTTTTAAGTGGTCTATTAACTTTTAGATTCATTTCAATTTCGTCTACTTGATAAAAGATAACGAAAAATTTCCTATTCTATTAGAGAATAGTTAGTCCTCTAACTATATTTTTTTATCTTTTAGTCCTCAAATTTAT